ATAAAACTCTTTCGTTAGAAATTTTATATTTTGAGATATACGTTGTATAGATAATTAAAAAATTAGAAAAAAAATTTCCCCTACCACTTTTAAATTTTTATGGGGTCTGTTTTTTATTTTTTTGTAAGTATTTTTGATATATTTTATAATGTAGTGTCAACAGAGGTCAAATGTAGTAAGGTGCTTGGTCCCCTCCTCTTTTTTTTGGAAGCTTCAGGAGTGACCTCAAAATTAAAATTTTACATTTATATTGGGCGTAGGACGTATGGGACTAAAGGTCTAGTTGAGTCAGACACATCTCGTCCCCCCCACTCTTCAAAAAATTGTCAAGAGTGGACCCAAAATATATTTTTTGGGATATTATTGTGCGCAAGGTTAATGGGACCACAAGAGAAGGTTTTTGAGATTCATTACATCCCCCCCCCCCGTACATTTTCTAAAACTCCCCAGGAGTGACAGGAATAAAGTTGAAGAAATATTATTGTGTGGGTACTATATGGGACCAAAAGTTCAAAGTTTTGGTACCAACATTTTCTTCTCCCCTCCACTTTTTTTGAAAACAAGAATAACCTAAAAATTAATTTCAGATAAGATACTTTTGGTAGAGTGTTTGGGACCAAAATGTAAGTGTTGAAGGGCTTCACTACATCCCGCCTTTTCCAAAAAATGCTCCAAGAGTAAACTTGATATTTTTGAAAGTAATAAAACTCACACAGTTTATTGGATATTGAATTTTGAAAATTTTAAGGTGTATTAAGTTGCCTTCTTGCCCCCCAAAAATTAATAAATATTAATTTTATTAAAAATTTGGAAAAATATAAAAAATATTAAGGAGGTCCTTTCGCCACACCTCTCGCCTCAAATGTTAAAAAAAAAGTTATTAGATTATGACTAAAATTAATTTTTTTCTAATAGTTGAAGTCCTTATTTATCTAATACTGAACTTTTAACTATACCTTACCTTGCAAATTTTTGAGAATTTTTTTTTTTAAATATGAGTATTTGTACAGTGCCTCACGAGAAAGTAAGTCCTCAACAACAATTCTCGAATTTTAGTCATATTCTAATATTTTTTATTTAACATTGGTGGCGAAAGGACCTCCTTAAGTAATTTTGATAGAGAATTTTATGATAAATACAAATATGTATATTTTATTTACCCCCTTACCCCCTTTTTTAAAATGTCTTATATTTTATTTTAAAAAAATTATAAAAATAAAATATAGTTATTAAAGGTAGATTATAGCACTTTCGATCCTTCAGGTTTTATCCCCTTGCCCCTTTTTTTAATTAAAAAAAAATTAAATTTTGGAATTTTGAAAAAAATAGTGGCATGTTATTAAGTGAATTATTTTAAGAAAAAAATGTTATATAGTGTATCCCCTAAAACCCCTCCAAATTTGAGAAAATTAGGATTTTTATATAAAAATTGGAAACTTTTAGAGTTGATAACTTTATTATAAAAAAAATTATTTTTGTGAAAAATTAGTCAGCGACCCCGTAGGGAGTGAACTCTCATTCACGACTGAACTAGTCTGTCCAATTACGTAGTGATATATGTATATTATGTAAAAATAAAAATCTGATACAATATACCCATCTGCTGTAGATAATAAATGATTTATTATTATTATTATTAATATTATATTCTGTCATACGTTATTCCTCTTCCTACCGTCACTCTAATCAATATAACTATTTATTGTATTACTTTTAATTTTAGCGCCCTCTACCTACCTTCTTGTGATCTATATAATATGTGGTATGTTTTTGTAGCAAATAACTTTTATACCCTGTATAGTGAAAAGTTTATTTTGATCAACACCGTTAGTTTAGAAACAGGATCATAGCAAATGAGGACACCCTGGTTGTTCATACTAATATAATTGTGACTGGTATATTAATGGGATACTCTAACGAGTGAATTTAATTGAGCGGGATATGCTTTCAAACTTACAACCATATTGGTCCTTTATGCAAATTTGAGTTTATCCGAGTATGTCTTTGGAATTAAGATGATATGGTAGCTGCCTGTTATTTCATCAGGTTCATTAATTATGTTAAAGTAAGTCAAGTCAAAGAATCATTAGGCTAATTTGAAGCCAAACTAGATACTGGATACTTATAAGGATTTGGAAGAAACCTTTCTGTTCCAAAGATAAGAATGTTTTAATAAGTTTGAATCTAGTCTATTTAAAAGACATCTATTCCTTATTAAAATTGTTATTTTCCAAAAAATAACCAATTAAAAGTTAAATCTAGAATTCTAGACCAGAAATTGGTCATCGCATGATTATTTACTAATATATTTGCTATTATTTGCCTAGATATGTTTTGAAATGTTTCTTCTGAAACTTTAGATTAGTATAATTGAAATTTATTAAATAAACTGATTACTTTTTACTTTACAAAGCCACCATCATAGCCTTCCTAAAAAGTTTGTTGACAAACTATTTTTTGTATCGTGGTAAAAATTTGTTATCCACAAATTCCAATCTAATTAAAATCAATAAACATAAAATTTATCTAAATAATTATCACTCAATTCAATAAATTCTCACCAAAACCTTGTAATTTCCTTTCTCATTGGGGGGAGAAAATTCAAGTAAAAGTTAAAAAAACTCCGTGTGGAGAAAGAATTCGCTTTCGTCGTACATTACACGGAAAGATAGATAGGATTTTCTTGTTTACACTTTTAAAAGCCCTCCTCGAGCTCTTGCTCGATTTAACCAACCATATTCTGAGAAAAAATCGAGAGCGAAAAGGTTTTTCTTGCGATTTTCAAGGAAATTAAATACACTGTCAAAAGCATCCAAAAACGGAATGATGATTAAAGAGGAACGTCTTCACTGGTGAGTAAATATTGTACGCTATCTAATTTTATTTATTTTCTACTAAGTTTTATTTTACAGAGATAAAATACTGGGATCCAAAAATTTATTTTTTTATCAGTTTAAGTTTGTTGGCAAAGTTTTAATAGTTTTAAAATAGCAAACTTTAGCGAAAAGAATTAAAGATTAGAGCAGAAAATCAAGTTTCAATCAAAGATTAGTATGTTCTTTTGTAAGATTGTTATTCACATACTGTTTTTTTTTTAATATTATTTTTACAGGTTCCTAGATCAGAAAATATTTCCTTGATAATGAGGATTGATGGTCTTCTAGAATCCATTTAAATTTTTACAGATTTACTTATCTACACCGAGGGTTCTAAAACAAAACAAGGTACTGGATATGAAATATACTCCAGATCTTTAGACTTAAGCATAAGCAATAGTGCCAGTGTAGTTCAAACCGATTTCCCAGTAATTCTCTTAGCAGTAAAAGAAATCACCAGAAATATTTTCACTAGTAATACCACTAGAGGTCAAAAAATTTCCTGATAATAATTTGACCTCGCGTGGTATTCGGTAAGAAAATTCCACGCCGAATTATGGTTGAAAATTAAATATTTTTAAAATTTATTTTTCGTTTCTCAACAATGCAAATTATTTTCTCCAAGTCACCAGTGAAACATAAAAGGTGTTGTCGCCTTGATTGTTGAGTTGTCATGGTAACTAAGTGAGACCCTAACCTCGAATATAATTTCAATTTTGAAGTTGTCAAGCGGCCCGACGTAAAAAAATGTTTCGCTGCAATTATTTAGGCCTTCAAATTGCTTATTTCTACTCATTGTAGTTGCATGGGAATACCATTTGAAAATATAAAATAGTATATTCTTTAATTTTACGTAAGTTTTAAATAACTACAAGTGGTAGAAAATTGTTTTTCTGCGTTTTTATTAACATGCGTTATGAGCGCTTTAAAATGGTATGAAATTCATAACCAGCGTCAGCAAGCATCAATCGTAGGAGGCGTGATCATTGTATTTTGACAGTTCAAAACATTAAATAACTCGCGTTTTGTTGCGATAAAGAATATTGCACAGCAAGTAAAACCAACAAAATTACCTATTTGTTTAAAAATGAATCGATTTGAAAATCATACGCTATGCAAAATATGCGTGAAATTGTCTGATGTAATGATCAATCATTGCACCATGACTTACTTACTCGGATTAATAGAGGATTGTGGCTCCAACTTGAAAAACGAAAATTTGTTCCGAATTGTCCACGAATATTTGCACCTAAACTACGCAAAATTCAAAGTGCTGAATGGGAAAAAGGTGAATAAATTAGTGTCTAAATATTATATATATTTTATTAGACATAGACACATAATTCAAAGCATCCAAAGTCCTGCATTTTCGCCATTAAGAAGAAAAGAAGTGGCCGAAGAATATAGGAAACACCTTAGCATTGTAACTAAAATGTATCAAAACTAAACCTATTATGTGAACAAATAAAAACCAGTCTGTCAAAAATGTTCTGTTATTGTAAACGTCAAAAAATTTCCAGTATAATTCGCTGTTGGGTACCCCACGAGAAAAAAATTTCCACTAAAATACCTCCGTTGCCATGGTGATCTGTCAAAAACACGTATTTTGATTGGTTCAAAATTACAGGTGTGGAATTTTCACTGAAAGAAACATGCTCATTTATACAGATAGCAGACAAGCACTACTGACCCTGTACCGATCACGAATTTACTCAGGATTAGTACTAGAATGTCACAAAGCTTTATCCATCAACAATGTGGTTACCTTAAGATGGATCAAAAATTAGCACGTAATACGAAGGAAAGAGAAGAATGAAAATTATAGCCAGAGAATAGAATGGAAGAGGATAAAGAAGTGGGCAATCACAACTATTTTATATTCTTCTTAATAGACTTGATAGAACTATTTTATATTTATTTTTATAGACTTGATAGTACTTTTAATAGTACCTCAGATACTTAGATTGGTAAAGTACTTTTAACACAGTACCTTAAATACTTAGATAATTTTATATTTGATTCATTTATAAATAGATTTAAGCATAAAATTTAAAACTTAACCAAAACTTAACTATCATTTGTAAATATAGACAAAAAAATTAATCAGATATTATAAAAACTTACCTTTTTGAAGTTTCTATCTTTCAACTCAATGGTAATTTCTTCAGATTGCGGCACAGGAAGATGCATATCCATATCAAACACTATAATCTTAACATTTCTGTCTATTTTTCTTACATGCCCTTTCTCATTTCCACTTACTGTCTCAACATTGCAAGTCAACCGAACAGATATGTTACTTCTACTTGAACTTTTTATTTTTGCACTAGTAGCAATCGACCAGAATTTGTGATGTTGATCGGGCGGAACCAGATGTATCAAGGAATCTTAAAACAATTGGCTATATCAGTTATAAAAATATTTTATAATTTGAGAATAGAAGGAATGTTTTAATAAAATTTAAATTTTATGTAAGTTCTTTTTGAATTAACAATAAAAGTAAAAAAAAACTAATAAAGCATAGAACAACCACATTGTATCTTTTATTTCTATTTATTTATGTTTATTTCTGTGTTTTTAAAATTTATTTTTATATATTTCCATTTATTTTAATTTATTTCTATTTATTTTTATTATTTTCGAATTATTCCGAATTATTTCAATTTATTTAGACTTGTTTTGACTTATTTCGACTTATTTCAACTTATTTCAACTTATTTCAACTTATTTCGACTTATTTCGACTTGTTTCGACATATTTCGACTTATTTCGACTTATTTCGACTTATTTCGACTTATTTCGACTTATTTCGACTTATTTCGACTTATTTCGACTTATTTCGACTTATTTTGACATATTTCGACATATTTCGACTTATTTTAACTTATTTCAACTTATTTCAACTTATTTCAACTTATTTCAACTTATTTCAACTTATTTCAACTTATTTCAACTTATTTCAACTTATTTCAACTTATTTCAACTTATTTCAACTTATTTCAACTTATTTCAACTTATTTCAACTTATTTCAACTTATTTCAACTTATTTCAACTTATTTCAACTTATTTCAACTTATTTCAACTTATTTCAACTTATTTCAACTTATTTCAACTTATTTCAACTTATTTCAACTTATTTCAACTTATTTCAACTTATTTCAACTTATTTCAACTTATTTCAACTTATTTCAACTTATTTCAACTTATTTCAACTTATTTCAACTTATTTCAACTTATTTCAACTTATTTCAACTTATTTCAACTTATTTCAACTTATTTCAACTTATTTCAACTTATTTCAACTTATTTCAACTTATTTCAACTTATTTCAACTTATTTCAACTTATTTCAACTTATTTCAACTTATTTCAACTTATTTCAACTTATTTCAACTTATTTCAACTTATTTCAACTTATTTCAACTTATTTCAACTTATTTCAACTTATTTCAACTTATTTCAACTTATTTCAACTTATTTCGACATATTTTGACTTATTTCGACTTATTTCGACTTATTTCGACTTATTTCGACTTATTTCGACTTATTTCGACTTATTTCGACTTATTTCGACTTATTTCGACTTATTTCGACTTATTTCGACTTATTTCGACTTATTTCGACTAATTTCGACTAATTTCGACTTATTTCGACTTATTTCGACTTATTTCAAATTATTTCGACTTATTTCGAATAATTTGGACTTATTTCGACTTATTTCAACTTATTTCAACTTATTTCAACTTATTTCAACTTATTTCAACTTATTTCAACTTATTTCAACTTATTTCAACTTATTTCAACTTATTTCAACTTATTTCAACTTATTTCAACTTATTTCAACTTATTTCAACTTATTTCAACTTATTTCAACTTATTTCAACTTATTTCAACTTATTTCAACTTATTTCAACTTATTTCAACTTATTTCAACTTATTTCAACTTATTTCAACTTATTTCAACTTATTTCAACTTATTTCAACTTATTTCAACTTATTTCAACTTATTTCAACTTATTTAGATTTTTTTCGACTTATTTCTACTTATTTTGACTTATTGCGATTTATTTCGACCTAATTCAATTTATTTCGACTTTAATGTTAAAATTTCGATGATTTTTTTTAAATACATCATTTACAGATCCGGAAAAACTAATGTCGTAGCAGATATTATGTTCAAGAGATACCAGAGGTAAAGAAAATATCCTCTTCGTGTATAGCCTGTGCCAAATTAAAAAGAAATACAATGTGGCCCTTATATCTTTCAATAGAAAACTAGATTCTAAATTCCAGAAACAATTGTTGACTCACCTGCCTCCATGCTATAATTAATTTTAAAGGGGCACATCTCCAACAAACGCGGAGATGACAAGGGTCCAACAGAGGTCGCGATGTTTGTCCTCTCCACCTTGTAAATTACGTCTGACCAAAAACAAATATCGTCCGCGAATTCATCACAATCTAAATTCTCCAAAGGAGACAAGCTAACTTGAACGATGGTCTTATCTCCAATCGACTTCGTCGTATCATCGACGTGTGCAGAAATCGGGATAGTTCCAATTTCTGAAAAAGACATTTCGATTAGTAGGAAATATAGATAAATATTACTGTGTGGGTATTTATATAAGGATATGACAATGTACGAGTCAATTTTCTTAAATATAATTGTAAAAAAATTAGAGCATATTGGTACATTATGGCCTCACATCAAGTCAAAGATGTATCTTTTTGTAAATATTAGAATTTTAAATTATAAAAAATGCCAAATATACTTACTTTCAATTTGTGAAAAAAACTTCGGAGTAAAGAATATTTCACCGGTTTTTGAATTGATCTGGAAGTATTCCCCCGATCCATTGATGCTGTACATTAGATTAGATTCCTGCTTCATTCCTGATTTGATTGCACTAAGATTAATAAAGGGGTGGTCGTAGGGTTGGAACATGAACTTCTTGATTGCTCTTGGGAAGTTAACTTTGATATTCGTCATTGAGAAGTATACGCCAAAAGCTGAAATATAAAATAAAAAATATGAATAAGTAAGATTGCATCGAAATATGTTTTATCTGTACCAATAAATTTTTTCCACAAATAACAGAAAGAATAATAATTAAGCCTTATCAATATACCATTGGGTATCTAAATATCCTTAACAAATTTTATATCCTTTTATTTTACGAAGCTTTTGATTCATTTTTCTGATTATTCTACCCAACCTTTACCTTGTGTATCATGATTTATAAATGCCCGATCTCAAATATTTATCAACTGTAATGCCCACAAATTTTAAACTATTCTTATATTAATAAACCGCCATTTGTATTTTCAGAATCTAATATAGACGTGGATATTCTGTTTAATTAGTATACATGCATCATAATTTCAATGAGTAAACATCTAAAACAAAAACTACAAACTCTTGTTAAACCAAACCAGTTTTACTTTTATTCAGTTCCAGGCTGGTTTAGAAAATAAAGCTGACACTTTTTATTGGATGATAAAATTAACTGCAATGGATGTGGAATGTCTTTTTTCAGGATAAATTTTTGTTACAAAGTTTCAGACCATAATAATTAAAGTCAACGCGGCTTGGGGTGATTAAATTGTCAGTAAAAAGGACCTATACAGTATAGTGTTTGCTACAAATGAATTTAGTCCAGTTTAATTATCAAAAAAAATATGTTTACACACATTTTTAGAATTTACGTGAAGAATTCTATGAGATGACATGAAAAATAGACATGTCAGATGTTTAATTGCATTTTAACAGGTACTTTCCGCAGAGACAGTCAAAAATTAAATGCATTTTTGAAATCTACGCCTCAAAATCTACAGGATGCCATAAAAAACATTCTAATTTTTCTTGAAGTTAGTCCCACAAACCCATTAACTTTTTCTGTTAAATATACAAGATAAAATAAAAACTGGGACCTTCTGTATATTAAAAGATTTTTTTAAACATGTATAATACAACTATTTAGTATTTTATTTGCTTTTGAACTCTTGCTTTTAAATAATTTGAAATCTAATTACATAGGTACTTTTCATAATTTAAAATCAACAGATACAGTTAGTCATTGATACATCCTGAACAACATCAATCACCTCCTAATGATCTTACATGTCCTGTAGTACACAACTTGTCCTTCCTCGCTATTATGTAACTAAATTCCCCCCTACACTGACGCACAAAAGATATGCCATGTAAATCTCTGTCGGGTAGGATATTCCACAAATTTATATATCTATCTAGCAATTCAATACCGTTTTTGTAGGGAGACTTCAGGAACTTTGCAAAGTGGTCACAACGAAAAACGTAGTTCTTTCAAAGCTTTAATCGTAAGCCTTAAATATTATTTGGTAGAATATATCTAGCAATTATTAATATTAGCTGCTGAAAAAATAGTAATCAGAATATTAAATTCTATCAAATTTTGACATACTTAAAAGGGAAATAATTCCAAACTGAAATGTGATAAAGACGTAAAATTAAGGAAAATAAAAATAAATCAATTCCCTAATTTTTTTTAACCAACATTAAGTGAACTTTTTCCGAGTCTTTCTGTCTCTTACCAACATTTTTATCCCATCTATTATCTTTCCTTTTTTCTTTCCTATTTCTATCCATTTTGTTTAGTCTTCCTAATTCTTTTTTAACTAGTTTTTCTCATTTTATTTGTCTGTTCATACCAGTTGAGTTATTTCTGTTTTAATTTTTCTGTTAGTAGTTCTTATTTTGTTATTGTTCTGATATCCTTGTTTTTATCTCATCCCATTTGGTCTTTCCTCTGATGTATCATAAGTGATTTATTTTCATAGCATTAATTTAATATGTCTAATGTATTATACAGTTTTTGATATCTTAATACCCTAATGTTTTGTTTAATGAATAGTATATTGATTTGTTCTCTCTGTTTGTTATTTCTGCTTTTATTTTTCCATCTTCTGTCAGTATACTTTCCAAATACTCATGGGTTTTTACTCTTTCTAGTATTTTCTTGTTGTCATTAATCTCCATGTCATTTTCTTTACCTATTTGCCTTTCATTTACCATCTCTGGTTCATTGGTTCATTAAGTTGTGCATTTTCTTTTAAATATATTTCTACAACCAATTACTGGGTTTATGTCCCTTCTTTTTTTATTTATTAAAATTCTATCCAGTAACGATAAATATTCATTGTCTTAAACTATCTCTCTGGTAACCCTTTTTTATTTTCAATTCCTCCAACATTTGTACTATTGTTTTTATTGTTTTGTAAGTGCTTCTTATAAAATACTCTCTCGATTCATTTATTATGCTTCTTATTGCGTTTATTAATTAATTGCACACTTCCATTTCCTTCTAGCATCTCCCTATGTTCTTTTCACTGTGTTAAATGCTGTGTTTACATCTATAAAACATTTTTTCCCCTTGCTCTATTTATCTTTTTATCAAGTTTCTTAAAATGTATATGTTATCGTTTGTCTGAATCTTTATTCTAAACGCAACCATTTATTTATCTAATTTCTGATATACGTATTCTCTAGGATTCTTCTGTATAGCATGAAGCAGCTATGAGCTAAACCTATTGATCTGTAGTTTTTATTTTGTCACAATAGTCAAGGTACTTAAGGGCCTAACATGACCAATTGCGTCACATAATTGTAGTCTTTCTTCAATAGGCTTGTATAAGGCTTTTATAGTAGTACTGCTGAGCTATAGAACACCTTCAATCGATTTAAAAAGAGAGGATTACATGAAAAACGTAAATGAAACGTTTGTACTTTCAAAGAGATTAAAAACAGAGGAACACTGATAAATATTTGCTATGGTTTAAAATAAATATTACACATGAGGCTATTTTTTTAACTATTGTATCCTGTTATAATAATCGCTTTTTTGTTTGATTATTCGATGTCTATAAAATCTTTTTCTTTTCTTTTCGATAAAATATTTTACAGCTTTTAGGATAAAAACTCATTAAATTTGGCGTTTCTCTTTTAAAACCAACCGATTATTATTATAAGAAAGAAAGGACAGAACAGCTACAAGAATTGCATCATAATAGCGCTTGATTTATGTTCTAACGTTGGGAAAACTTTTCCTTGTATATATTAAACTACCCATGGAAGTTTTAAAGTTTATTATGGAAAATTAACAGCGGGAAAATGCAATATTGTAGTTGTTTATAGGGGAAAATTATTTTAAACGCACAGTCATTTTGTAAAGCTTTGTTGTTGCCTTTGTATTAATAACAGAAGGGCTGAAAGTTTACTAGAACAGTTGTTGCGATGAATTTAACTTCATCTGAATTTCATTTAGTTAGTCAGTCTTCTACACGATTGAATGGTTTTGTCTTTAACTACTGTTTCAACTTCGATAAGGTGGATGAAAGTTTCCATGTCGAAAAGGAATATTACCTTAATATTGACTCTTGAAAACAAACTTAAAAATGTCAGTATATAAGAAAATATTAATCTACAATCAGTGGCTATATGACATTCAATTATAAGGGTATGCTAGAGATAGCAACATTATGTCTATTTAAACCTTCCAGAACAAAGTATTGTGCAACATAGTGAACCCTCCTTCAAATGTGCGTAATGCATTCATTAAGACTTTGGAATTCTAACGGTGGAAGAAAAAATAAAGGTTTGTTGGCTATGAGTCTAGACTTCACCTACATAGTAATACAGAAGATATGCAGTTGTTGGACAATTAAAACCATGTTCGATGAATGAAGATGATCAAGCCACTTGATCTCATGTAGTGTGTAGGAGCGATAGCAGAGCGAGTGACATGTTTATAAGGTGAAGTGGGGTAAATGTACTCATGGGGCAAATGTAATCAGGCCATCTGTATTTTTTTAAAGCTTTTTTGAACTTTTATTGTCCAAAATTCGAAAAAAGCACCTTTTTTATACCCATATTACTTTTTATTAACCTTTTTTAGTTCCAGTACTGAAATATTCACAAATTTATTATTTTGACTATATTGGTGTCATTTACTTTTTTAATTTCCAAGTTAATGCCGCAAATAATGCAATTTAGTTGTAACATTTTGCTGTTATAGAAAATTTTGGAGAAAGAATCTAATTCTGTTATCAGATTTGGATTTGGATAATACAAAAAAAAAATTATTCTACATTTACCCCACCAAAATCACTGATTACATTTAAGCCAGCCTCCTCGTCCACCATGACTCCTAAGTTTTTAACCTAACATATTCTTTATTGTTTTAGGCTAATAAGTACCGTGAAAACAAAATCAAAGACTTCGGTAAGTCAGTAAATTATAAAATCAGTGTTAAAAACTTTAACCAAAGAAACTACCTAAATACTTACCAAAAACAAAGTTTATACGGTTCCTAGTGAGTTTCTTATTCAAAATGGTGGGTGTAAAACAAAAAAAAAAGATCCTTTTTACAGTGCTAACCATTTAAAAGATGCGGTTAGCAATATCCAGCAGGGCAATCTTAGTATTAGTAGTGATATCTTATTTTCTACTCTTCAAAAACACCAACGAGGAACCCGAGGTTTAAAAAGTACATCTAAAGGAAGACCTACCGCAATACCTGCAGCCGATGAAAAAAAATTAGTGAAAGCCATAAAAACCATGATGAAGTGGGGTTGGGGGCTGTGAAGAAAGGAAGTTATAGAATTAGTGGGAAAGTATGTTATGAAAAATATGAAAAACTCCATTTACAGATGGAATATCTGGTGAAGATTGGTTTCTAGGCTTTAAAGTAAGACACCGGCTATCTTTAAATAAGCCACAAGAACTGGAGCATACCAGAAAAAAAGCCAATGATCCATTTGTGATTGACATCTTAAAAGAAACCCTGGATAGATACGACCTACAAGATAAGCCTAGTCATCTTTATAACATTTTTACCATCGATCCAAGTGAAACTAAAATTGTTTGTCAGAAAAATGTCCCTGATTCAAGAATAACTACCGGACCTAAAAGAAAAAGTACAACATTCTCATGGGTGGCAACGCAAATGGATGCAAACTGCCTCTTGTTCAACAAAAATCCAATTTTAGTTCA